GCCGCTGGTGGCGGCGACGGGGCCACACGTGGCGGCGACGGGGTCGCAAGGGGCCTAGACGAGGCCGCGGAGGGGCCGTAAGGGGCCTAGACGGGGCCGTAGCGGGGCCGCAAGGGGCCTAGACGGGTCCGCGGAGGGGCCGTAAGGGGCCTAGACGGGGCCGTAGCGGGGCCGCAAGGGGCCTAGACGGGGTCGCGGAGGGGTCGTAAGGGGCCTAGACGAGGCAGTAGCGGGGTCGCAAGGGGCCTAGACGGGGCCGTAAGGGGCCGGAAAGGGCGCCGCGAGGGGCCAAAAGGGGTCGAGCGAGGGCCGTAAGGGCGACGCGAGGGGCCTTAAGGGGTCGTAAGGGGCCGTAAGGGCGGCGCGAGGGGCCGTAGAGGGCGGCGCGAGGGGCCGTAAGGGCGGCGCGAGGGGCCGTAAGGGCGGCCAAAGGGGCCGTGAGAGGGGCCACTAAGGGCGGCTCGAAGGTAGGGAGGGCACACAGAGCGCGACTCGGGCAGGAGTGAAGCGCGCTCCGGGCAGGAAAAAAAAATATCGTGGTGGGCCCTAGGTAGCATTCCCACTAGGGAACCTACTCGATACCATGACGAGAAACGAGAATGAATGCATTGAGCAGAAAGGGGGGTACGAGTAGCAAACCCTAAAGTGTTGTTCCCCATATGAACTGCCCCACTATAGCCTACACAGACTATAGCATATATGCGTGACACGTACAACTTTGTCGATGATCCCGAAGTCCAGATAAGCTGTGGCTGCATCCTTCGCGGCTAAAGCCTCTCTGCCGATAAAAAACAGCAAACTCAGAAAGTGAGGCAACGTCATATTGCAACTGAAAAGTGTCAATAAAGACGGGTTTTGTAAATCAACGCATACTTGTGCGCGATACAATGACATGAGACCAAGTGAGGTACTCTTGTACGCAGCCGCGCCACCAAACCGGTTCTACCGCTCGTCATCACGCTGGCTCCGTCGGTGGAAATGCCAGAAAACCGCATGAGATCCACTCCATTCCCTTCAAGGTGAGTCAGCAAGACCGCCATGAGGGACGCCGCGTCACACTTGTCGACGGACAAGTTGGCGAAGAACTCTGTGACGATAACCCCGTGCTTGAGAAACGTGATGTACACGATGAGATGTTTCCCGCGCCGCCTGTTGGTGCTTTCGTCATGTTGAATCCCAAGGAACGGACTCTCACGAATGTGTTGCAGTTGCTGCGCCTTCAGGTAGGAGACCATCGTCTTCATGAGCTGCTTGAAACCGTACTTCCCAAACCACCATACAAAGCGTATTAGTAAAAGGCCAAACATATTTATGAAGCGGACACAAAAACACTACTTACTTGCTCATGTACGTGCCGTGATCCTTCAATGGGAGATGCGGCGTCCCCATCTCTGCCATGAACTGAACGAGGGAAACAAAGAGGGCGATCGGAGCTTCAGATTTGCAAATGAAGTGTGCGATTAACAGCAACTTGAAGAGGCGCTCCGACTCTGGATCATCTTTTGCAAACTCTGCAATCGACGGCTGCTTCGGTTTCTTCCCCTCGCGTAGCTCCTTCCTCTCGAGCGCTGCTTCGTGCTTGATGCTGTGATGATGCTTCCGCATAGTCTGCTTCTGGATTTCAATCCCGCCTTCGCCATTCCTCCCGTACTTGTAGTCGGGGTCGCCATAGGCAATGCAAACCGTACACTTTATGCACGGGCGTCCCTCGCTGGTCTGTGAAATAATTAGCCACGGAAAGTACCGTGACCACTGCTCCTTGGCCTTCAACTGGAGCTCTTCCACAGTAAGAGGGAACGGCCCGTCGTCAGTTGAAGGAGCTGCACGCGTGTCACGTTTGTCCTCAGCATCCGGTGCGAAGGGTGCGGTGGTGGCATGCCGACCAAAAGACAGCTTCCGCTGCTTGTACTTCTTTGAGCTTGGAAAACGCAAAGGAAGGAATGGGGCACGAGTGTTTTTACAAACATCAGCGGGCGATGTCAACGGAACCGAAGTGGTGCGAACGGGAGAGCGTGTTGCAAAGCAAGATTGGAGCGGCGACGGCGGAGGGGAAGAGGCATTCAACGTGCCGGCGCTGTTGTTGATAGGTTCAAAGGGGTATGGCGCATCGGGGGTGACAGGAACATCGACGCTTGCAGGTGCGGGGCTAGGTTTGGCCCTGACGCTTGGCCCTGTCAGGAAATCAGGGCCTGTACGCCTCTCGGTAGCGACGGCATCAACGGGAGAGGTAGTACTAGGAACGGTGGGTGGTGCTTCATGGCGCCCATCGGACGCCATGACGAGGCGAGAATGTTTGCGTGGGAGTGCTCCATGAGCTGAGTCTCCTGCTAGTGTGGTGGCAAAGACTGCTGGAGAACTCAGCTGCGACGAGGGTAGAAGAAGCACATCCATTCCGTGCTCATCCCATGGCGACGCGCCCCCTCTGGCTGACTGTGGCAGAACGTCGGTGCCACCCACGCCTCACGGTGGATGGCAGGCCACCTGCCAGCACGTATGCGCTGGCAGCATCGCGCCACCCTACAAGGTCGTCTTCTTGTATGCGTGCGCTGGACCTCGGCAACTTCTTAGTCAGAAGTTGCCAGAGCCGTGTAGCAGTTACAGCCATTCTGCGCTGGCACGCCAAATCATAAATGCGGTGTGAATGCCCCGCAACCCACAGTGTGTGGACGAGTGGGCCAGTGGACTCGTGGGCCAGTGGACCATAGGGACTGTGGACCAGTGGGCTCGGTTGTCAGTATCAGACGGAAAAAAACGCGCTGTGTGTCGATCCAGACGAAACGTATAAGCGTGTCTTAAATTTCAGATGAACATATAATACAAATCTTACAGTTCAGATGAAATTTTAAACCCTGTCTTGAATCTCAAATGAACATACAAAATGGAGTCTGATTTGCAGACCATCAGACCATTTTCGTCTGCTATCGACGTTCCTGCTTGGGAGCTTCTTTAGACTCAGAATTCACTCCTGAGATACGCTTCGATAGCATGAATAATGACAGTAGCGTGTTCCTACGGCTCCCTATCAGGCCAACCCCTACGGTAGTTAGACTCAGGCCAACGTATATCCAAGGCGACTTCTTATCTGAGCCTTTTCTTGATTTTGGTAGCGGTTCGAAGCGATTAATGAAACCAGCCTTTATAAAGGGTACGCTCTATGGGCGAGGAACAACCTGAAGTGAGCTGAACAGGTAGATGTGTCAATTACTGTGTTTCTGTACGTTATATTTCGGTTTAGAGCGGCGAGCGTCCGAGACTTTCTTCTCAGGGATTTCACTTTTGCTGAACAAAAGGTCCACAAACTTGACGCGCCCTAATCCACGTGTACTCTGACAACTGCTGCCAGCGACCACTGTCAAGACGACATCTGGACACCAATAATTTGAAATGGCCAGCGCCAGTCAGCAGAGCTCTTTCAAAGCAGCAGATGCCACATGAGAAAGTTTGAGCAGCGTGTGTTTCACTACGGTTCTACTTGGTCTAAGGGAAAAGGAACGGCTGAATGAGTCCGGAATCTTATCACTCTCAAACAAGATCTAAAGCAGCCTTGAGATCTCCGCCTGACATCTCTTGGCTTTCATATGAAAGCCTTCTGCTCCTCTTCCCAGCATTGAAGCTAGCGTTATTTCCAGAAGAGACTATTTGTCGGGAACGTCCGCTCGCCAGAGCCTCGTTTCTTTACCCAGCCTCATTCTTCTAACCACAGCGGCATTACGCCTAATCCCTGGTGGTACCTGTACAAGCACATCTTGCGGTCGTAGCGGTCCCGCTACATAAATAATCAGCGTGTCCATCAAGTCAACAGAGATAGCATTCCGGCGATAGTACACGTCAAACACGACGGAACGGCGCCACGGACCCAAATTACGCGATATACGTCGAGTCTCCAGCATTGATTATAGGGAGTTTAAAGTATTCTTGCTTATTGAAACGTGAATGTGAAGATCAACGCTTGTCACTGCTAGTACACGCTACAAATTCGTCCAAGGACGAAAGCGTTTCAGCTAAAGCGGCTTAAGAAATTAAGTTAATCGGCATTTCACGTGTCATAAAGGATTCATTCGATCAGTCCGACTAGATCATAGCGATTCGTCGGAATGGCGAATTGGGCGCTCGCAGGTTGCTGTAACACTCAGCAGACCCTCTTCCTCTCCTGCTCCGGTGTCTACGCGCTCATCATCCTCGTTGTAAGCACGCCGTTAACTGTTTTGTTAAGCAACTCTGGCAATGCAACACACAGCATGTACTGACGCGATCTCGCTGTAAGCACATTCGACACGCCACGTAACAAGCAGTTGCGCCGATATTTGGTCGCGAACGTTCCCTAGACTCGCCAACCACATCCCCTCAGCCCCCCCCTGCTGCCTTCCCTTAGGGATGTTCCCTCTATACGTCTATGTTCTATGGCTGACCATCCGCCAGATGCCTCGGAGCCGTTCGATAGACATGCGCCAGATTTGACACTCACTCTCCGTCACCCTCCCGCGTGCCATGACTGACACGCGCACTGACAGACTGCGCATCCCTTCCTGCTCCCCACCCTCCACGCCTGTCCCCTCCGCGCCTTCCCTCTCTCCAGCTATGGCGCACCATCCGCCTGATGCCTTGGATCTCCTCTGAGGACATGCACGGGACACGACGCCCTGTTTTGGGTCGGCTCAAAGCACGGGACACGACGCCCTGTTTTGGTCGGCTCAAAGCACGGGACACGACGCCCTGTTTTGGGTCGACTCAAAGCACGGGACACGCAAACTCCCCCTCACTCACCAACCCGACTCCCCAGATTTCTCCTCCTGCTACCTTTTCCCGCTCCAGCTATGTCGCACCCTCCGCCGTATACCCATGGAGCTCCGAAGTGGACTTACGCTAGATGGGACACTCACTCTACGTTACCCTCACTGTTGAGAGGACCTCCACGTGGTTGGTTCGCCCAGCCACGTGGAGGTCCACGCCGACCGACACTCACTCGTGCCATCACTGACACGCGCACTGACTGACCGCACATGCTTCCCTGCTCCTCACCCCCTTTGCCTGCCCTCTCTCACCAGCTATGGCGCACCATCCTGCTCATGCCCTTCAAGCTCATCTTCTTGTTACCTGTGTAAGATGGGACACTCAACGCTACCATAACTCGTGCACTGACTGGCCGCTCATTCCCCCCTGCTCCCCACCCCCCTGCCTGCCCTCTCTACCCCCCTTTGCCTGCCTTCCCTCTCCAGCTATGGCGCACCATTGTGCTCATGCCCTTCAAGCTCATCTCCGTGTGCCTACATGAGACGGGACACTCGATGCTGCCCTCCCTCGTGCACTGATTGGCCGCTCATCCCTTCCTGCTCTCCACCACCCCCCTGCCTGCCCTCTATCTCCCCACCAGCTATGGCGCACCATCGTGCTCATGCCCTTCAAGCTCATCTCCGTGTACCTGCATGAGATAGGCCATGCCTCCGCATGCGTCATGACGGGAGGCAAGGTGCGTGATGTGGGGCGGGAAGGTGCGTGATGAGGGGCGGGAAGGTGCGTGTGTGTTTCAAGTCCAGAGAGCAGTACTGTGTGCTGAGTGCAAACGCATGAGATAGGCTATGCCTCCACATGCGTTGTGACGGGCGGCAAGGTGCGTTCATGCAAGGAGGAACGTGCGTCTCACGGGAGGGAAGGTGCGTGCGTGTTTCAGAAGTCCAGAGAGCAGTACTGTGAGCCGAGTGAATATTTCCGAGGTGAGCTGGGTGACCGTGTCGGGTTTCAATTTGCCTTTGAGTGGGCTGTGAAGATGGGATAGAGATGCTGTGGTATGCTGTAGTATGCCATCTGGTCAGTGTGCACGTATGTATCAAGAGGCAGTGCCTTACCAGTCACAGAGCATTTCAAATTATGTGTTACAGATGGAGGGCATAACAAATCATCTCACAAATGAAGTGCATCAACGTGCTAAGGATCATGCTGTGCAATGCTGACTTTTGAGTCGACTCAAAAGTCAGCCAGGTGGAGTGCATCAACGTGCTAAGTAACATGCTGTACAATAATGTGTGCGAATACACCCTATGCTGCAGGGCATCGAGGTGCACATGAACGAGGCCTTCAGAGGTAGATTCGTTATAATGCATAACGAATCACACTATATCATGCTGTATGTGCGAACGCCCTATGTCAGGTGGAGGACATCGAGGTGCACATGGACGAGGATTTAGAGGAAAATACTTTATAAGGCTTACCAATTCGCACATCACCATGATGTGTGCGAACGCTAAACCCCATGGTGCAGGTGGAGGGCGTAGAGGTTCACAGGGACGAGCATTACAGGGGCGATCGTCTTACAATGCATAACGAATCACACTTTACCTTGCTGAATGCATGCATGCGTGCTGTGTCATGTCATACATATGTGCGAACGCCCTATGCTGCAGGTGGAGGGCATCGAGGTGCACATGGATGAGGGGGGAGTCACTCGCACCCGGGGTGGATGGCAGTGGTGCATTCTGCCTGCCGGATGTGAGTCACGAGTCACAAGTCACGGATCACGGGTCACTCGCACCCGGGGCGGATGGCAGTTGTGCATTCTGCCTGCCGGGTGTGAGTCACCAGTCACCAGTCACGGGTCACTCGCACCAGGGTGGATGGCAGTTGCGCATTCTGCCTGCCGGGTGTGAGTCAGGAATCATGAGTCACGAGTCACAAGTCACGGGTCACGGGTCACGAGAGTCACGAGTCACTACTCAGCAGGGTGCTGGCTCCCAAAACCCAAGTTTCCCAAAATCAAACCTTCTCTGTGCGCATCTCAACTCAATCAAGCAAGCTACCGTTGCCCATCAAACATTTCTTACCCGTTACCCATGTGTCTCTCAGCATGCCATACAGCATGTGTCTCACATCACTCTCACAGCATGCATCTGCATCATCCCAACCACACTAACCAGACCTGGGTCGTCCTTCTAGGGTATGCTGCTGCTGCTGCTGCTGTGCGCCGCTCCATCCATGCTTCTGCACACTTGCCTAAACCTGAAACCTGAACCGCAAACCCTAAGCAGACCTGGGGTCGTCTTTCTGGGGCATGGTGCTGGCGCTGTGCGCCACTCCGTGCACGTTGTCTCACACATGCATGCATGCTTCACTTCTCCCCACACTAAAACAGACCTGGGGTCGTCCTTCTGGGGCATGGTGCTGGTGTGAGCCACTCAGTGCACACACACATGCATGCATCACCTCCTCTCCCCACCCTGCACTCTACCAGACCTGGGGTCGTCCTTCTGGGGCATGGTGCTGGTGTGAGCCACTCAGTGCACACACACATGCATGCATCACCTCCTCTCCCCACCCTGCACTCTACCAGACCTGGGGTCGTCCTTCTGGGGCATGGTGCTGGTGTGAGCCACTCAGTGCACACACACATGCATGCATCACCTCCTCTCCCCACCCTGCACTCTACCAGACCTGGGGTCGTCCTTCTGGGGCATGGTGCTGGTGTGAGCCACTCAGTGCACACACACATGCATGCATCACCTCCTCTCCCCACCCTGCACTCTACCAGACCTGGGGTCGTCCTTCTGGGGCATGGTGCTCGTGCTGTGCGCGACCAACAAGTGGACCACGCTCTGCCTCTCACATGCATGTGTCTGCATTGCTTGCGGTGCCTTCACTTCACTCCACCCACCCCAACCAGACCTGGGCTCATCCTTCTGGGGCATGGTGCTGGTGCTGTGCGCCAATCAATGCACATTGTCTCATAGTATTCCATATGCGCGCACCCCCATGCCTGCTTCAACCCACACCAACCAATCAGACCTAGGCTCATCCTTCTGGGGCATGGTGCTCGTGCTGTGCGCGACCAACAAGTGGACCACGCTCGTCATCGCTGTCATTCTCTGCATCACTCTCTTCATCACGCTCTTCCTCGCCAAGAATGTGAGCAGTGAAACTTGTGTGTGTGTGTGTGTGTGTGTGTGTGTGTGTGTGTGTGTGTGTGTGTGTGTGTGTGTGTGTGTGTGTGTGTGTATGTGTGTGTATGTGTGTGTGTGTGTGTGTGTGCACGTATTTGAGGGTCTCCACCACTCTCGCCATCGCTGTCATCCTCTGCATCACCCTCTTCATCACCCTCTTCCTTGCCAAGAACGTGAGCACTGAAACGAGCAAGAACATGAGTAGAGAACCGTGTGTGTGTGCACTTATTTGAAGGTCTTGTTTGCTCCCCGTCACCCTCGCCATCGCTGTCACCCTCTTCATCACCCTCTTCATCACCCTCTTCCTCGCCAAGAACGTGAGCCTTCCTAGCGTCAATTCCATCTAAGTTCCTCGCCAAGAACGTGAGTTGCAAAACTGTTTTGCACTTCGCTGGATGGGTGTCACCTCGCATCTGCTCTGCAGCACTCTCTTCGTCACCGTCTTCCTCGCCGGAACATGAGAGTAGCATGCAGCTTTCAGCCCCATACCGCACTGACGTAACTGTTCTGCACTTTCAAGGCCATGCCTGCCGTGCCGTGCATCACTCTCTTCGCCACCCGCTTTCTCAGAAGTACGTAAGTAGCACCAATGGTCTGCTTCTTACTTACGTGTGTGTAGGTCGCGCAAGCTCTTCCTCACCCTCCATTGGTGCTACTTACGTACTTCTGAGAAAGCGGGAGCTGCAGCTCACGTTCCAGAGAATCTCTTCCTTACCCTCCTTATCTGGGGCTACCGCACTGCATCACTCTCCCTTTAACTGGCCAAGGATGCAAGCGTGCTGTGCAAGCAGCATCGCTCCCCCTGCTGCCTTCAACCAGAGGAGCACAGAACGCAAAATGTCCCCCATTTCCTCGCAAGGTGTGACTTTTGAGTCGACTCACACCGAGCGCCCTCTCTCTCTCTGCTCCACTTGTCCCACAGAACACGCTACGGTTCCTGTGTGTGGGATTCCTGCTCCTCTTTGGCCTCTTCTTCCTCCTCGAATACGGCATCACCCAGTCTGACTGCCGTGCATCCCTCTCTCTCCCCCACTTGTCCCACAGAACACGCTACGGTTCCTGTGTGTGGGCTTCCTGCTCCTCTTTGGCCTCTTTTTCTTCCTCGAATATGGCATTACCCAATCGGTGCACCCGCTGAACCTCGCCATCCTATTTATCGGTACGCCCTTTCTCTATACAAAGCAAACTGCTCCCTGCTTTTCCTCTCTGCCCTTCTTTCTCCAGAATCCCACGTGCAATTTGTCATTCTCTCAATATTTTCATCTTGTTTGTTTGTTACTAGGAATTATCTTTACTCACAAAACTCCTCTTGTGCAAAACTCCTTTGTCCGTTTCTTTGCTGCGCAGGCATTATGAACTGCCTCTTTTCTATTTATGGTACGTCACTGCTGTCCAGCCCACACGTCTGCACATAATTTCTCTATTCTTCAGTGATTTCTCAGAATAAAAAGAAACCTCCGAGGCATCATGAACTGCCTCTTTTCAATTGATGGTGCGTCCATGCAGTCAAAACGTCTGGACATCGTTTCTTTAAAATTCTTTAACAAACAAACTGTCCCTTTCCGTGTCTGCCTATGGTCATCGAACCTCCTCTTACCCGACCTCCTACCTCCCCCGCTCGTTCTTCCCCTTTCTCCTCACATCTCCCCTAACTGCTCCACCTCATCCCCTTTTGCCACCCCATGCATCAGACATCTACGATGATCTCATCTCACGGCGAGTCAACTCCAGCCCCTTCGTAATTGCTCCAAGGAGTCTCCTGATTACAGCATTCTAGTTCTTGTTTAATTCCCTTGTGCCGGACGCCAAGGAGTCCATTCTCCTGCCCCTTCCCGATCTCATCTCTCGGAGAGTCAACTCCAGCGATGCCGAGCTGTACATTCCCCCATCTCTCCCCCGCCCTTGTCCCCACCATTCATCAGGCATCTACAACAATCTCATCTCTCGGAGAGTCAACTCCAGCGATGGGAATGAAGTGTCCATTCCCCTGCCCCTTCGAACCCCCTTGACCCCCCCAATCCTCCCCATCTCCCCCATCTCCCCCATCTCCCCCACCTCCCCCACCTCTCCCATCAGACATCTACTACGATCTCATCTCTCGGAGAGTCGACTCCAGCGATGCCCAGGTGTCCATTCCCCTGCCCCCGGCTGCCTGTGACCTATCCAAACCCCTTCGCCCCCCCACCTCCCCACCACCCTCCCTCTCACCCCCCCCATGCATCGGACATATACGACGATCTCATATCCCAGCGAGCCAACTCCAGCGATGCCCAGGTGTTTGCCAGATCACGCCCCTGGCTTCCCTTGCCCCTTTTCACTGTCCCTGCTCCTCCACCCTCCAACACCTTTCCCCCATCTCCCCAATGCATCAGACATCTACGACGATCTCATCTCACGCCGGGTAAACTCCAGCGATGCTGAGGTGTTTGCCAAGACATGCCCCTGCCCCTTCAACGGAGTGTGCTGGGGGGTCATCTGGTGAGCGCCAGGTTATTTTGTAGGAACCTTGTGCCATGGTAGGTGTGAGTGCTGGCGTCTGTGGCACCTCTGGCCTACCATGGGCGCTTTTTTAGGAGTGGGTTTGTGAGGGTATACGGGGGGTGAGATGAGATTGTGAGGGGCATGTGAGGGTTGAGCACAAGTGCAGTGTGGGTGTGATATGATGGAAATATTACTCCACAAGGAGAGACTGGAGAGAGTCGTAAGGCTATGTGCATTTCAACTCCTTTCGTAATGACTTGCGTTATTTCTTCTCGTTCCCGTTTCGTGCACCTGTCCTGCAGGGGCGTCATATCGTTGTTTCTAGCTGCTGCAGCCGTCTACCTGGGCCTCGTGATTCTAGCATGATCATTGGGACATCTCAAAAGACGTACAGATGATTGCCTAACATTGTTGGGCGTCAAGTTGTATGATTTATCCGACTTTGTATGAAGTTACTGTTTCAAGATCCGAGCAGTGGAAAAAAAGGCATGGTCGATAAAAAAATGGCTGGTGACAGTATTCTGAACTGGCTGATGCACAGGAATCAGGATGGCACTAACAGGGATGCGGCCGTCTGCCTCAAGGCGGGCATTTCATCCATCAATCTTACGGTAGATGGTTTCACCTAATAACGCGTTTGGAATGCTTTACACATACCGTATGTGGAAATCCAGTTTCCATTGAATTCTTAACATGCTGTGAAATTCTGCACCGCTATGCCGATATCTAGACAATTCTGATTCGTCAAACATCTACTGGTAAGATAATAAGATTGAGGTATTATCAATTAGTGTTAGTGTTACCATAATTAGTGTTTCTTACCGAAATAAGATAACATCTTACCATACTTTATATCAGTTTTGTTTGTGCGGGGCTCCTCATTCCACAGCCCTTGGAATACTCTCGCGCCACGGGAGTGGCAATCAAGGAAGCCATTAGTACGCTTCCACGTGGACAGTTAGTCACAGCTGGAGGTTCCTGCCACTGGAATTGGGTTGTCGAGATGAACGACTGAGCTTGGCTCTGATTGTTCCACTATGATGCATTTGAGTACGTTCCAATACGATGAAAGACGTAAAGGAACCGGTTCCCTGCTTTGCCGCACTTAAACTTGGAAAACCAGAACAAACCGAACGAGGAACACCTGCTTGGGTAAACGCAGAATCTGCGAGTGTCTTGAGGCAGTCATCCTCGCTGCACACAAGCGTTTTGCTAACACACAGCAGAATCCAAACCAAGCTGAACTCCTGGATCCTTGGGTTCGTCCGACGAATTCGCGGCTCCTTCGCTTCGCTTTGCAAGCTCTAGTTCTGTATGATTTTGTGAAACGACGGTCGCTCGATCCGGTCTACGTTCGGCAGCAGTCATTACCACAACAAATCGTCTGTGTACGTGTCGCTCACTGAACGATCGCGGTCCAATGGCCGCCTCAATTTCCCTCCTAGCGCAAACGCCCGCCGCCGTCCGCATTGCGGCCGGCTCGTTGCCTGCACCGCTTTCAACGAGCCCTTCTCCCGCCCAACAACTCCGCGTTATTCCCGCGGATTCCTCTCTCCGCGCAATTGCCGCCGCCCCCTTCCGCTCTGCCTTCCCTGCCTCTTCCCGCCGCGGGCGCTTCACAGTCCGCGCTGCTTCCGCTGACGAAACCACGTCAGCAGCTGCCGGAACCACGTCAGCGGCATCAGCCTCCACCACCACCACCACCACCACCACCACCACCACCACCACTGCCGTCACGGAGGCCCCGGCGGATGCTGCGGCGGCAGCCGCAACAGCCGCCGCAGAATCGACAGCGGCAGGGACCGAATCAGAGCCAATAGTAGACGAAGCGCCTAAGAAGAAGCGGCGCGCGCCGCCGAGGAAATTAAAGCGCGAGGAGAAGGCGGTGGCGACGTGGGGATGGGACGGGCGGTCCGCGCGCGATCTCGACTCGCTAGAGCAATGGCTGCGCGCGAAGGGGCTTCCGCAGCAGAAGTTGGCGCTGCGGCTCGTGCGCGAAGGAGGCCGCGGGCTGGTGGCGACGGAAAACATCGGCAAGGGGGAGGGCATCCTGAACATTCCCGAGAAGCTGCTTATAACGGGAGAAACGGTGCGTTGGGTGGTGCTTATAGCGAGAGAAACAGTGAGTTTAGCTCTTACAACAGGAGATACGGTGAGCCTATGCAGAGGGTGGGTGATTATAAGGAGGTGTTTGGTGAGAGTCGTGGTTGCGGTTGAAGGGACTGGCGTAGATGGCGCTGCGGCTCGTGCGAGAGGGTGGGCGTGGGCTCGTGGCGATTGAAAAGATCGGGAAAGGGAAGGGTATCTTGAACATTCCCGAGAAGCTGCCTCTAACGGGAGAAACGGTGCGTTGAGTAATCCTTATAACGGATCGGGAAAATGGTGCGCTGAGTAACTGGGACGAAATGGCAGGGTGGTGGTAACATGTAACGGGAGAGAGACAGTCGGGTGCTTATAAGTTATAGCCACCCTGGGGAGTGGTGATTCCCTGAATTTGGTGAGCACAACAACCAAGGGAGCACCAAATTCCCTGAATTTGGTGAATTTGGTGATTCCTTATGAGTGATTGATTGGTTTGTTTTCATCCACATCGGGGAATCCACTGTGTCAGTTCAGATAGATTTCCAACACCTGTCTAGCGCCCTTCTTCCCTTGCCTCCCCCGCCCACCACCCTTTGTTCTTCCTTGCCCCCAACTCACTCCCCTCCCGTCGTCCTCCTCCCTCCTCCCTCTCCCCCCTCCCCCCACCCCATTCCCCCCCTGCCTCCCTCTCCCTCCCCCACCCCGCGTCCCCATTTCCCCGCCCCATTCGCAGGTGTACAGCTGTCCCCGCGTGGGCGCACTGCTTAAGGCGGCCAACGTGCCGGATTGGCCGGCATTGGCTGTCTACTTGCTGAGCGAGGCCGGCAGAGGGGCGGCGTCTGAGTGGAGTGGGTACATCGAGACGCTGCCTCGCGCCCCGCCCTGCATCCTGCAGTGGTGAGCTGGCGGGGTCGAATAAGGAGGACGAGGAGGGTGAGGAAACAGGGAGTGGCAGAGGGTGGCGTGTGAGTGGCGTGGGGGGTTCGTTGAGACCCTGCCTCTTGCTCCGCCTTGCATCCTCCAGGGCGATAAAATTTGGGAAGTTGAGGAACGCGGGGAATATGATGGGGTAGGAGGATGGGGAACGGGGGGAAGATGATGGGGCAGGGAACAGAGGGCAAGAAGGAGAGATGGGCAGAGGGGCAGTGCAGTGAGGCAGTAGGGCGGCCCTTCGCCTTTTTTGCTATCAACCACGTATCCTGTGTTTCTCACCTCTCTATCTCTCTGACTTCCCGCCTCTCAGGTCTATTGACGAGGTGGATGTGCTTCTAAAGGGGTCTCCTGTCAGGCAGCGCGCGATTGAAGCCATTGCTGACGTCACAAACACGTAAGAGGGCAATTGCTGATGTCACCAACACGTACGAGGCAGGGATAACACAGGGTTCTGCAAGGTGGAATGAGGTGCTTGCTTTTGTGATCACCCAAATATGAGGCACCTTCAATCGCATTGGTGGTGATGATGCAAATGAAACGTAGTGGGCTGGCAGTGCGAGAGTTGTGTGATGGTTCCTTTGGATGGCCCGTATTCATTAAAATTGGTAAACGAATGGGCTAAGTAGCCCTTGTTATGAAAAGGTTGTTCCCTAAAGGAGGGACAGAGAGGAGAAACTGGAGAATCAGAGAGTAATTAACCTAAACTGGAGTAATTTCTTGGCACTTTTTGGTATTAATTTCTCGACAAGCTTTCTTTCCTCTATCTTTGCTCTCCTTCTCCTCTTCCCTCCCGCACCCACCCCTCTCGTCTGCCACCTCTCTCCACCGCTCTCTGTGCTGCACGAGTTGACTTTTGAGTCGACTCAAAAGTTGCTCTCCTTCTCCTCTTCCCTCCCGCACCCACCCCTCTCGTCTGCCACCTCTCTCCACCGCTCTCTGTGCTGCAGGTTCTCAGAGCTTGAGGCTGCGCTTTTCTCGAAGCACAGAGACGTCTTTCCAGAGAAGGTGCGGAATCTAGGGCCAGTGAGACAGTGGATGGTGGTGGTGGGGGTGCGAGGCGAGGGGGGAGACGGGGGGTGGCGGTTGGGTGCGGGGGAATGGAAGAATTTCAGAGCTTGAAGCCGCGCTTTCCTCGAAGCACAGAGACGTGTTTCCAGAGAAGGTGGCGGAGGGGATATTGTGGTGGGAGAGGTGAGGGGAGGGACTAGGTGGTGTGCGGCGGTGGATGGGGGTGCGCGGGGTGCGGGGCGGGTGCGGGGGAGTGGTGAGAAGGGCAGGGAAGTGCCAGCTGTTTATGTTTCCGCTTTCCTTTATCTGCCCTCTGCCTCCCACTCCTCGTCCCCCCCTTCCCACTCCTCGTCCCCCCCATCCCACTCCTTGTCCCCCCCTTCCCACTCCTCGTCCCCCCCCTCCCACTTCTTGCCCCCACCTTCCCACTCCCCCGCCCCACCTCCCATTCCTCGTGCAATGCTCCTTATTCGCACATTCACTCCTCTTCCACTTTCAGCACTCCCTTATCCGTGCAATGACCTCATCATCTTGTGTCACGCTTTTCTATTTTTGAGTCGACTAAGACATTTGCACATTCACTCGTCGTCCACTTTAAGCACTCCCTTATCCGTGCACAAGATGATGTTTGAGGCGCCTAAAAAAAACTCCGTTATCCGTGCACAAGTTGATGTTTGAGGCGCCTAAAAAAAAACTCTGTTATCCGTGCACAAGATGATTAGGCAGTGCTGAAAGTGGAAGTGCAGCGACCTCATCATCTTGTGTCACACTGTTCTTTGTCGTCACCCCCCCACACATCTCTTCACGTTTATCCAAACCCTTTCCTCGTCCACCCCCCTTCAGCTCTTTTCACTCATCCAACTCACACTCCTCCCTCATCCCCCTTCCTCCAGCCCTTCACGCTCATCCAATCACACTTCTCTCCTCATCTCCCTCCCCTCCAGCTATTCACGCTCAACAACTTCAAGTGGGCCTTTGCTGTGCTCTTCTCCCGCCTGGTCAGATGCACCTCCCTGCACCTGCATCCGTTCGCCTCTCCTTTTCTGTCGTCCTTTCCATTCATCCGTTCCTGTCTTCTTTCCCCATAGCAACATCTCCATCTACCCCTTCTATACCTCTCCTCTTTTCCTATTTTCCCTGCAATCCCTCCACTTCTAAGGGTGGTTTACTCCCGAGTTCGTCCCACTCTTTCTTTCCGTTGGCCATATGTCTATCCACCTCTTCCTCTCAGCCCCCCGCCCCCCACTCACTCAGCCCCCCTTCCTCACTCACCCCCCTTCCTCACTTATCCCCTTTCTCTACTCACCCCCAATCCCCTCACTCATCTCAGATCCCTCCCACCCCCCCCCCCCCCCCCCCCCCCTCACTCAAACTTCTTCCCTCACTTATCCCCAATCCCTCACTCAAACCCCTTCCTTCACTCATCCCCAATCCCTCACTCACCCCCCCTCCCTCACTCACTCTCCCTCCCTTCTCTCCCCCACCCCTCACTCTCTCCCCCTTCCCCCCTTCTCCCGTTCCCGCCACTCCCACCCCACCCCACCCTGCCCCCCCCCACCCCCACCCCCTCTCCCCTCTTGTCAGGTCCGCCTGCCATCTCGCAACAACCGCTTGGCCCTGGTGCCGTGGGGAGACATGCTGAACCACCCCCCCTCCCCTCTCCCCACCTCTCCCCCCCTCTCCCCTCTCCTCCCCATGCCCGCCCTCTCAGGTCCGCCTGCCATCGCGCAACAACCGCCTGGCGCTGGTGCCGTGGGGGGATATGCTCAACCACAGATGCGAGGTGAGCGGTGGAGTGGGTGGGGGGAGGGTTGGGTGGGGTGGTGGGTGGTGGGGATGCTACAGCTGCTTGTAACAACCGCCTGGCGCTGGTGCCATGGGGGGATATGCTCAACTACAGATGTGAAGCGAGGAGGGCGGAGGTGGGGCGTGCTTCAGCCTGTCACAGATTGAGTCATGCGAGGAGTGGGGAGGTGGGGCGAGGAGGGAGGGAGTGGGACGTGGATACTTGGAAGGGCAGTGCTGACAAGGCCAGGGGCCTTATGGACCCACAAGGTCAGATGAATTCCAGGTTATGTGGGTACGTAAGGCCCCTCCAAGGGCAGTGCTGACAAGGCCAGGGGCCTTATGTACCCCCATAACTTGGAATTCATCTCCTGCTCTCTACTCACACCCTCTCTCCCTCCATCACTTTCTCCCCCCCTCCGCAGATCGAGTCATGCATTGATGTGGACACGTGGAAGGGGCAGTGTTGACAAGGCCAGGGGAGATATGTGCCTGTCTTAGTTGTCTAACTCCACCCTTTCTCACCTCTCCCCCCTCAACCGCAGATCGAGTCGTGCATTGATGTGGACACGTGGAAGGGGCAGTGTTGACAAGGCCAGGGGAGATATGTGCCTGTCTTAGTTGTCTAACTCCACCCTTTCTCACCTCTCCCCCCTCAACTGCAGATCGAGTCGTGCATTGATGTGGACACGTGGAAGGGGCAGTGTTGACAAGGCCAGGGGAGATATGTGCCTGTCTTAGTTGTCTAACTCCACCCTTTCTCACCTCTCCCCCCTCAACCGCAGATCGAGTCGTGCATTGATGTGGACACGTGGAAGGGGCAGTGTTGACAAGGCCAGGGGAGATATGTGCCTGTCTTAGTTGTCTAACTCCACCCTTTCTCACCTCTCCCCCCTCAACCGCAGATCGAGTCATGCATTGATGTGGACACGTGGAAGGGCAGTGTTGTTTTCACCACTGACCGTGCGTTTGCCAAGGGCAAGGAGGTGAGGGCAAGGAGGTGAAGCGTGCTGCTTGATTGAGAGGATGAGGTGAGGCAAGAAGGTGAGGAGGTATAGCTAGTCAAGTCAAGAGGGCATGCACACGTGGAAGGGCAGTGTTGTTTTCACCACCGACCGTGCGTTTGCTAAGAGCAAGGGTGAGGCGTTATTCAAATGAGGGCAAGGAGGCGGGGCGTGCTGTTTGGTTGAGGGGGTGAGGTGGGGCACGTGGAAGGTTAGCGTCTTTTTTACCACCGATCGTGCCTTTGCCAAGGGCAAGGAAGTGAGGCGCTCATGATTTGAGGGCGAGGACAAGTGGAAGGGCAGCGTTGTTTCTACCACCGACCGTGCGTTTGCGAAGGGCAAGGAGGTGAGGCGCTCTTAAATCGAGGGCAAGGAAGTGAGGCGCTATTTAGATCAGGAGGTGAGGGCAAGGAGGTGAGGCGTGCTGCTTGGCTGGAGGTGATGTGAGGGCAAGGAGGTGAGGCGTGCTTGGTTCGAGGTGAGGCGTGCTTGGTTCGAGGTGAGGCGTGCTTGGTTCGAGGTGAGGCGTGCTTGGTTCGAGGTGAGGCGTGCTTGGTTCGAGGTGAGGCGTGCTTGGTTCGAGGTGAGGCGTGCTTGGTTCGAGGTGAGGCGTGCTTGGTTCGAGGTGAGGCGTGCTTGGTTCGAGGTGAGGCGTGCTTGGTTCGAGGTGAGGCGTGCTTGGTTCGAGGTGAGGCGTGCTTGGTTCGAGGTGAGGCGTGCTTGGTTCGAGGTGAGGCGTGCTTGGTTCGAGGTGAGGCGTGCTTGGTTCGAGGTGAGGCGTGCTTGGTTCGAGGTGAGGCGTGCTTGGTTCGAGGTGAGGCGTGCTTGGTTCGAGGTGAGGCGTGCTTGGTTCGAGGTGAGGCGTGCTTGGTTCGAGGTGAGGCGTGCTTGGTTCGAGGTGAGGCGTGCTTGGTTCGAGGTGAGGCGTGCTTGGTTCGAGGTGAGGCGTGCTTGGTTCGAGGTGAGGCGTGCTTGGTTCGAGGTGAGGCGTGCTTGGTTCGAGGTGAGGCGTGCTTGGTTCGAGGTGAGGCGTGCTTGGTTCGAGGTGAGGCGTGCTTGGTTCGAGGTGAGGCGTGCTTGGTTCGAGGTGAGGCGTGCTTGGTTCGAGGTGAGGCGTGCTTGGTTCGAGGTGAGGCGTGCTTGGTTCGAGGTGAGGCGTGCTTGGTTCGAGGTGAGGCGTGCTTGGTTCGAGGTGAGGCGTGCTTGGTTCGAGGTGAGGCGTGCTTGGTTCGAGGTGAGGCGTGCTTGGTTCGAGGTGAGGCGTGCTTGGTTCGAGGTGAGGCGTGCTTGGTTCGAGGTGAGGCGTGCTTGGTTCGAGGTGAGGCATACTTGGTTCGAGGTGAGGCATACTTGGTTCGAGGTGAGGCGTGCTTGGTTCGAGGTGAGGCGTGCTTGGTTCGAGGTGAGGCGTGCTTGGTTCGAGGTGAGGCGTGCTTGGTTCGAGGTGAGGTGAGGCGTGCTTGGTTCGAGGTGAGGCGTGCTTGGTTCGAGGTGAGGCGTGCTTGGTTCGAGGTGAGGCGTGCTTGGTTCGAGGTGAGGCGTGCTTGGTTCGAGGTGAGGCGTGCTTGGTTCGAGGTGAGGCGTGCTTGGTTCGAGGTGAGGCGTGCTTGGTTCGAGGTGAGGCGTGCTTGGTTCGAGGTGAGGCGTGCTTGGTTCGAGGTGAGGCGTGCTTGGTTCGAGGTGAGGCGTGCTTGGTTCGAGGTGAGGCGTGCTTGGTTCGAGGTGAGGCGTGCTTGGTTCGAGGTGAGGCGTGCTTGGTTCGAGGTGAGGCGTGCTTGGTTCGAGGTGAGGCGTGCTTGGTTCGAGGTGAGGCGTGCTTGGTTCGAGGTGAGGCGTGCTTGGTTCGAGGTGAGGCGTGCTTGGTTCGAGGTGAGGCGTGCTTGGTTCGAGGTGAGGCGTGCTTGGTTCGAGGTGAGGCGTGCTTGGTTCGAGGTGAGGCGTGCTTGGTTCGAGGTGAGGCGTGCTTGGTTCGAGGTGAGGCGTGCTTGGTTCGAGGTGAGGCGTGCTTGGTTCGAGGTGAGGCGTGCTTGGTTCGAGGTGAGGCGTGCTTGGTTCGAGGTGAGGCGTGCTTGGTTCGAGGTGAGGCGTGCTTGGTTCGAGGTGAGGCGTGCTTGGTTCGAGGTGAGGCGTGCTTGGTTCGAGGTGAGGCGTGCTTGGTTCGAGGTGAGGCGTGCTTGGTTCGAGGTGAGGCGTGCTTGGTTCGAGGTGAGGCGTGCTTGGTTCGAGGTGAGGCGTGCTTGGTTCGAGGTGAGGCGTGCTTGGTTCGAGGTGAGGCGTGCTTGGTTCGAGGTGAGGCGTGCTTGGTTCGAGGTGAGGCGTGCTTGGTTCGAGGTGAGGCGTGCTTGGTTCGAGGTGAGGCGTGCTTGGTTCGAGGTGAGGCGTGCTTGGTTCGAGGTGAGGCGTGCTTGGTTCGAGGTGAGGCGTGCTTGGTTCGAGGTGAGGCGTGCTTGGTTCGAGGTGAGGCGTGCTTGGTTCGAGGTGAGGCGTGCTTGGTTCGAGGTGAGGCGTGCTTGGTTCGAGGTGAGGCGTGCTTGGTTCGAGGTGAGGCGTGCTTGGTTCGAGGTGAGGCGTGCTTGGTTCGAGGTGAGGCGTGCTTGGTTCGAGGTGAGGCGTGCTTGGTTCGAGGTGAGGCGTGCTTGGTTCGAGGTGAGGCGTGCTTGGTTCGAGGTGAGGCGTGCTTGGTTCGAGGTGAGGCGTGCTTGGTTCGAGGTGAGGCGTGCTTGGTTCGAGGTGAGGCGTGCTTGGTTCGAGGTGAGGCGTGCTTGGTTCGAGGTGAGGCGTGCTTGGTTCGAGGTGAGGCGTGCTTGGTTCGAGGTGAGGCATACTTGGTTCGAGGTGAGGCGTGCTTGGTTCGAGGTGAGGCGTGCTTGGTTCGAGGTGAGGCGTGCTTGGTTCGAGGTGAGGCGTGCTTGGTTCGAGGTGAGGCGTGCTTGGTTCGAGGTGAGGCGTGCTTGGTTCGAGGTGAGGCGTGCTTGGTTCGAGGTGAGGCGTGCTTGGTTCGAGGTGAGGCGTGCTTGGTTCGAGGTGAGGCGTGCTTGGTTCGAGGTGAGGCGTGCTTGGTTCGAGGTGAGGCGTGCTTGGTTCGAGGTGAGGCGTGCTTGGTTCGAGGTGAGGCGTGCTTGGTTCGAGGTGAGGCGTGCTTGGTTCGAGATGAGGCGTGCTTGGTTCGAGGTGAGGCGTGCTTGGTTCGAGGTGAGGCGTGCTTGGTTCGAGGTGAGGCGTGCTTGGTTCGAGGTGAGGCGTGCTTGGTTCGAGGTGAGGCGTGCTTGGTTCGAGGTGAGGCGTGCTTGGTTCGAGGTGAGGCGTGCTTGGTTCGAGGTGAGGCGTGCTTGGTTCGAGGTGAGGCGTGCTTGGTTCGAGGTGAGGCGTGCTTGGTTCGAGGTGAGGCGTGCTTGGTTCGAGGTGAGGCGTGCTTGGTTCGAGGTGAGGCGTGCTTGGTTCGAGGTGAGGCGTGCTTGGTTCGAGGTGAGGCGTGCTTGGTTCGAGGTGAGGCGTGCTTGGTTCGAGGTGAGGCGTGCTTGGTTCGAGGTGAGGCGTGCTTGGTTCGAGGTGAGGCGTGCTTGGTTCGAGGTGAGGCGTGCTTGGTTCGAGGTGAGGCGTGCTTGGTTCGAGGTGAGGCGTGCTTGGTTCGAGGTGAGGCGTGCTTGGTTCGAGGTGAGGCGTGCTTGGTTCGAGGTGAGGCGTGCTTGGTTCGAGGTGAGGCGTGCTTGGTTCGAGGTGAGGCGTGCTTGGTTCGAGGTGAGGCGTGCTTGGTTCGAGGTGAGGCGTGCTTGGTTCGAGGTGAGGCGTGCTTGGTTCGAGGTGAGGCGTGCTTGGTTCGAGGTGAGGCGTGCTTGGTTCGAGGTGAGGCGTGCTTGGTTCGAGGTGAGGTGAAGCCTTCCCCATTCGCTTGCCCCTTTCCCTCCCAACATGTCCGCCCACCTCACGAGTATTGTTTCGTGCGGTCCTAACTCCGTCCAGCAAAGAATTGCTTACAGGGTGGATTTTACTCTTGAGAATTCTCCAAAGTGAAATGCGTCCAGCAGAGAGTTGCTTACGGGGTGGGGCTCGCCACGAGCAACCCCAGCGAGTCACGCCGCTGTCTCTTCCTCTGTTAACACACCACACCATACCATACCCTTGCAGGTGTTTGTTTTGTGCGGTCCCAAGTCCATCCAACTGAGAGTTGCTCCGTGCTTACGGGGTGGGGCTCGCCACGAGCAACCCCAGCGAGTCACTCCGTCTGCCACTCTGACTGCCACACCACACCATACCCTCGCTGCCTCGCAGGTGTTTTTCTCCCACGGCCCCAAGTCCAACGGAGAGCTCCTGCTGGCCTACGGAATGGTGCCCGCCACGCGCAACCCCAGCGAGTGATTCCTTTCTCCGTACCCCCCCAGGTGTTTGTCTCGAATGGTCCCAAGTCCAATGAAGAGCTGCTCCTGGCCTATGGGGTGATACCTGCTACTTGCAACCCCAGCGAGTCACTCCGTCTGCCCCTATGACTGCCACACCACTCTATACCCTCGCTGCCTCGCAGGTGTTTGTCTCCTACGGCCCCGCCCCAAGTCCAACGGAGAGCTCCTGCTGGCCTACGGTGTCGTGCCTGCCACGCGCAACCCCAGCGACTCCGTCCCGCTGCTGCTGCTGCTGCTCGTTCTCCTCTCACCCACTCCCCACCCGTCTGCCCCCACCCGCCTTAGGTGTTTGTCTCGTATGGCCCCAAGTCCAATGGAGAGCTCCTGCTGGCCTATGGAGTCGTGCCCGCCACGCGCAACCCCAGTGACTCCGTCTCGCTGCTGCTCGCGCTCTCCCCAGATGACCCGCTCCTGCCTGTTAAGGAGGCAGCACTGCAGGCCAACGGGCTGACCTGGTACGAACCCTTCTCTGCTCATCTGCTTACCAAGTCAACCACACCTGCTTCTCGCACTCTCCCCAGACGGCCCGCTGCTGCCCGTCAAGGAGGCGGCTCTGCGAGCCAACGGGCTGACCTGGTACGAACCCTTCTCTGCTCCTCACGTGAGCCTTGTAGCCTTCCACCGCACCTGCTGCTCGCGCTCTCTCCAGACGACCCCCTGCTGCCCGTGAAGGAGGCAGGGCTGTGAGCCAACGGGCTGACCTGGTGAGGGTCTTTCTCTTTCCATTGCCACAGACAGGAGGGGCTTGGCACGTTGTGCACTCTCCCGCTCTTCCCTGACGACCCACTCTTGCCCGTCAAGGAAGCAGCGCTGCGAGCCAACAGGCTCTCCCATGAGGGCTCTTGTGCATTTGTCGTTAGTCTTACACGTCTGCTGCTCGCGTTCTTCCCTGACAACCCCCTGCTGCCCATCAAGAAAGCAGCTGTTCGAACCAACCGGCTGATTTGGTGAAGGTTCTTCTCTTTTCAAAGACTTATTGAATATTTACATTCCAGGTTCTGGAAACCTGATGTGAATTTTACGAGCTCTGTTGTTTAGCATAGTGGTACCGATGCACACGTGCTGATGATGATCCTTGGACGTCTCACCCTATCAACTTTGCTGCATGTGCCACCCTCCTTATTCCCTCAGCACCCCTCGCTATCCCATATGCACTTCTCCATATCGCCTATGCCCGCCCCCAACTTCGGACCATTTCCGCCCTTGTTTTTGCTCCCTATCCCCTCCCCTCCCTTCGAATGGTCCTTCATTAAATAAGCAACATAGTTACAGCACATTCATAGTACAGCCATACAGACAAGGCAGGGTAAAACTAAGGCAGCTCGAGCTCGGGCTCGAGCACGTGCATGAGGTCTCCTGTGCTTAGGGGCTCCCCCGCGAAGGCCGTGGGGGCTGTCCCAGCCGTAAACGCCGTCAGGGCCTTGGCATGGCAGCTAGCGCGGATGCTTGCGCGCGTTGGAGCGTGATGGACCAACGCTGCCGGTAAGAGTGGTAGATTTTCGCAGCCTCTCTTGAGGAAGGCTCGGCGTTGTGGAGGCACTTAGCAGCGAGGTTTGCACACAGGCGGAGGAACTCTAGCACTCCAGGGGAGCAATACCCATATGTCCCCTCCCTTCCTGCTCCTTCCCTACCACTTTCCCACTCTCTCCCCCCCCACCCCTGCCTGCCAGCCCTCTCTCCTTTCCGATGAATGGCTGGCCCTCTCAGCTGCTCAGCTTTGTTTCGTTTCCCCTCAGATTTCGTCTGTTTTCCCCCTCCCCACCCCAACCTCCTACCCATCCCCCCTCCCTCTGCGTGCCAGCCTACTCTCCTTCCCGGTTCGCATGGACAGCTGGCCGTTTCATCTGCTCGCCTTTGCTGCATGTCCCATCCCTTCCCCCTCACCTTTCGTCTGTTTACTCCCTCCCCGTCCCTACCCCTTGCATGACAGCCCACTCTCCTTCCCTGTCCGCATGGACGGCTGGCCCTCCCAGCTGCTCGCCTTTGCTCGCCTCGTGGCAGCAGGGCCGTCCGTGCCCGAGGAGCAGATCAGAGAGGTGAGCTTGACTGACTTGCTTGCCCGCCATTGACTCTCAGTGAATCTCATTAACTTGTGCACGCCTTCTCAGCTTCTCAGCTGCTTGTGCCTCGTGGCAGCAGGGCCGTCCGTGCCCGAGGAGCAGATCAGAGAGGTGAGCTTGACTGACTTGCTTGCCCGCCATTGACTCTCAGTGAATCTCATTAACTTGTGCACGCCTTCTCAGCTTCTCAGCTGCTTGTGCCTCGTGGCAGCAGGGCCGTCCGTGCCCGAGGAGCAGATCAGAGAGGTGAGCTTGACTGACTTGCTTGCCCGCCATTGACTCTCAGTGAATCTCATTAACTTGTGCACGCCTTCTCAGCTTCTCAGCTGCTTGTGCCTCGTGGCAGCAGGGCCGTCCGTGCCCGAGGAGCAGATCAGGGAGGTGAGCTCCCTGCACTCGAATTGACTCTCTTGAATTTTTTGACTCTCATTGACTACAGATGAGTTGCACCGTCTAAACCACACACATCCTCTCTTTACCAGCATTCTGGACAATGTGCCACCTCATCCGCCCACCCCCCTACTTCCCCCCGTCCCCTGCCTCACTGACTGCTCACCACTGCCATTGCGCCAATACTGTGCTGTCTCCCTCTTTCCTTCCCTTACACACCATTTTCAATGCACGCAGGCCTCTTCCTTTGTTGACATACATCCAGCCTTCACACCTCCCCTATTTTCCCATTCCCCATTCCCCCTTCCCTCTTCCTCCCCCTTTCCCTCCCCGTCCTCCAGCTAGCAGCAGCGACGTCATTCGCCGGTTCGCCCTCCTCCCCCTCGGCACCTGCTAAGCGAGAGATGCCGTCGCTGCCCTTCACCGCCTCCTTCACGCTCGACCACGAGCTGGAGGCCAGGGAGGTCATTCTCGCTGCCTGCCGCCTGGCCCTGGCTGGCTACTCCACCACTCTCCAGGTCAGCCATTTGAATCTGCTTGTAACGAGTCTAAGAATAACGAGTGTGGAGGTGGTTTAAGGTGTGGTGCTGCCCTTCACCCCCTCCGACACCCTCGAGCATGAGCTGGAGGCCAGGGAGATCATCCTCGCTGCCTGCCGCCTGGCTCTTGCAGGATACTCCACCACCCTGCAGGTCAGCTGTCGTGATTTCCTTACGACGAGCGTCATTGTAACGAGTATGCATGTGGGTCAGTTAAGGTGTAGTTTTCCCTTCACCCCCTCCTTCTCGCTCGAGCACGAGCTGGAGGCCAGGGAGGTCATCCTCGCTGCCTGCCGCCTGGCTCCTTAAACCATGATGGCTGGTGCAACGGTATCGGTGGGTACTGATGTGACTTTTGAGTCAACTCAAAAGTCACCGAGTATGATTGTACCCAGTATGGTTGTGCGTAGGGTATAGTACTGCCCGTCACCCCCTTCTCCCTAAACCATAGTGGCTGGTGCAACGGTGTCGGTGGGTACTGATCAGCATGATGGCTGCAGAGGTGGTGACCCACCGACCTCTGATGGGGTCACCAGCATGATGGCTGCAGAGGTGGTGAATCGCGTCACCAGCATGATTGTACCCAGTATGGTTGTGCGTACGGTATGGTACTGCCCGTCAACTCCTTCTCCTTGAACCATGATGGCTGGTGCAACGGCGTCGCACATGGAGGACGATGGCGAGGAGAGAGTGAATCGTTCCCCAACACCCCTGCCTTGTGACCCCCCACGGCCCATCTTCCACTCATTGCATGCAGAAGGACAACAGCGCGTGATGGCTGCTGCTGTTCCCTCACTCCCTCTTCCTCTCACCCCTCACCACCCCTCACCACCCCTCTCCCCTTCTACAGGAGGACGAAGCCCTATTGGAGGGCAACAGCGATGATTACCTGGAGGATGATGGCGAGCAGAGGGTGCGCGTGATGGCTGCTGCTGCCCTGCGTAGCAGCGAGAGGCGCATTCTGCTGCGAACAGACTTCGTGAGAGCCCGCTATCTCGTTTTGTCTCCCCCTCTCTGTCTTTCTATCCCCCTCTTCCTCTCATTCGCTCGCACTCTCCCTCCTTCTTGGTTGCTGCTGCTCTGCGGAGCAGCGAGGGGCGCATTTTGCTGCGAACAGACTTTGCGAGTTTGCGCTCTCCGTTTCGTTCTTCCTCTCGCACTCACACATGCACTCCCGGTGATGCTCAATCGCGAGAGAGAGCAGCGGGTGCTGCTGCTGCTGGCCAAAGGAGCAGCCAAATGTGCGTTTTTGCTACCATTACGTGCTTCAGTATGAGCTCAAGAGCCGGTGCATCAAGCAGACCCTCCCCCTTCCCTTGCCTTTGCTTCCCTCCTTGCCCCTCATGCCTCCCCTTGGGCCTCCCTTGTCCTGTGCCTCCCACCAGGTGCTTCGCTCAAAGCTGAGGGACATGCAACGCCCGGCAAGGCCAAGTTGGGCACGTAGCAAGTGCAGCAGAGGCACACCCTGCTGCACTGTTACTGAAACCTCCCCTTCTTGCCCTTTGTGTTCATCCCACCAGGTGCTTCGCTCTGAGCTGAGGGACATGCGCAATGCGCAGCAGGCCAAGGCGGGAGGCAAGCAGAAGATCGACCTGGGCAACAACTTTGGCGGGGAGAGCGCGAGCTTCATTGGCAAGATTCTGAGGAGAATATCGCGTGTGGAGTAGTCCAGACTCCAGAGGCATGGGAACCGCTTATGAGTAAAAGGCATTCATGTGGAGGACACGATAATGGGAAGGCAGGGCAACCGAACATCGTCCAAATGGATCGACCTACAAACGCTTCTACGTTCATGCTGCGGAAGTGAATACATTGGCGTTGTAGTGAGAATCGCGAGATTACAGCACGGGGTTTTTTTTCTCGCATCAAAGACAAATTTTGCAACTTGTTACGTCATTTCATTCTAGACGCGCCAACAAGGCTTGTCTTAGCTAAATATTTTGACTTGTTTTATAAACCCAACAGGAATGAGGCACCGCTTTAAATGCATCAACCCAAAATACATTGCTGGTTCCCGTGTTTGGGGTTGATCCCACTCAAATTGCACCACATTCAAGGTATCAACCCTAAGCACCTTGTTATGTGTGTTTAGGGTTGATGCCAGGGCTAATTTTATCAGTGTAAATCACCCTGATACCCTGATAATCAGGGTGGTTTTTGGGAGTAACACTGATGGTCCAGGGTAATTTTTCTAAGAGTCAAGATTACCCTGATGTGTCAAGGTTTACAATATAGGCACACTGATGACTAAGGGTTCCTGTATTCAATAACGAGTTTTTCCCTGAAGCGAGTTCCATACCCCCCCCCCCCCCCCTAGATTCGTACTCCTTAAGACTATAGGATTCTGTTGGTACACTTTTTATGTTCATAAGACGAACATTGACCATTCGGCCCTATTGTCAGACACTCTCGAAGCTCTCTTTGGCAATGGTGTTATTAGGGTCTGTGACATTCCCGAGGAGCGCGGCAATCACAGGAGTTCCACCTACCTCCTGGACGCGATTCAACAGACTTTTCACTACTACATATACAGAGTCTGGTCTAGAGGGAGACACAAGGCATTTCTGGAGCCTCTGGTGCTCAGCTCATTCTTACGACCTGTACTTGCGGATCTACTCGCAGTCTCTATTCATCATCACACCATGGCTCTGCCGGAAGTCACCCCTGCTGCTCTGGCTCCGGCCGCCGGTCTCCATGGGAAGAAACCCGCGGGCGTTCGTCCTGAACCGGTCACTCTGAAAACATTGTTTAATGGCACGTCTGCCTCTCAGGGAGAGCAGGAGATTAAGGAGTTGACGGCCAAGGCGTCGGCGTTGCGCATTAACGATCTGCCTACAGACAAAAATGCAGGTGTCAGCGTCAAGGTCAAGGCGGGTGTTGCTGTTCCAGCTGATCAGGATCGCGGCAAGGCCAAGGAGCAGGACGCGGAAGATGATGGTGGCTACCTTAGCGACGATCCCGACGAGTGTCAAGATCCGGTGACGCTCAACGAGATCGCTGTGCAGGCTAGAGTTGCCATCACGCTACTAGTTCCTTTCGCCTGGCGCAAGGAGATTCCGCGCATCATTAACACCGTCAATCACCTGCTGACGGTTTGGGGAAAGCACATGTCGGAGAACGTGAAGGCGACCACGAGGTGTCAGCAGCTTACGGCGACATTCCTCTCCAAGCAACATTTCGGCCGTATTGAAGTCGTCTTCCTGCTGGAGGCGGACGCAGGGTTCATGAGGAGCAGAGAGATCGAACACTACACGACGAATGATAAGAAGCTGACGCTCGGCTGGCAGCATCCGGAGAATAAGGAGTACCTGAAGGAGCGTGAAGCTCACCCGGAGGCAATCGAGGTGTTGCTCAAGGGGGTGCCGGCTGTTATCTCACCAGCGATGATCAAGCATAACCTGGTTTCGGCGATGCTGCTGAAGCGTGGCCGCACGGCGTTCCGCGATGGCTCGGCGTTTCACCGCGTGCTGGATCCTGTGTCGGGGTCGGACACGGACAAGATAAAGGGCTTGGTGTTCAGGCATCAGGGGGATAAGTACAAGTGGTGGCACAAGGTCACTGACAGAGTCCACGTGATTGAGCTGCTGGTTTCATTCCCTGCGCTGACCTGCGATTTCTGCAGCGGAATGCACATGTCATGTTTCCATGATGATTACGTTAAGGAGAGGCAGAACAATATTGGGAACTGGAATCTCCCTCTTTTGCGCGCTCATGAGATCAATGGTAATTGCTCCAACTGCTCCTCTTACCTTGTTTTTCAGGTGGCTGCAGCTGCGAGCCTCCATGCTGACTTCTGTGCATCCCTTCCCCCGAGCAGCGGCTTCCATGAAGCTCTCATCGGCGTTGAAGATCCTGCAGGCGGACCCTGCCATGGCCTTGACCTCTACGGGAGGTGTCAGAGAGGAGTGGCTGTGCTCCCAGGAAGACTGCGGAAAGGCTCACGGCTCCAGTTTTGAGTCGGCGGTGGAGCACGTCCAGTCGGTTCGTCATGGTACCGGGCAGCTCAAGGCGAAAGCGGCGACTCGCCTGAGCAAGGGGAAGCTGAATCTCGCGCAGGTCAAGAAGGAGTATGGGATGTGACGGTCCGACTGTGGGAGCAGAGATGCTGAGGGTTCTTGTGTGTGTTTCGGGGAGGCAGACAAGGGAGGAGGTGTTAACAGTGGCAACAGCGGTGGCGACGACATCAGAAGTAGCGTCGATTTTGGCTTCTTTATGTTGTACTGTTATTAATAAAGCCCGTGGATGCGAGGGGCTCGTTGTCAAGTGGACCCATGGGTAACACACCATTTCTTACCATCTGCGGGGTCAATGTGAACGGCCTTGGCAGCAGCGGGAAATGGAGTAAGAACAGGAGATGGTTACGAACAACAACGAACATAATGGTCCTCTCAGACACAAGGATTAAGGAGGATCACAATTTCTGGAAAGATTTAAGGCCGAAAGCTTGGGCTGCAGTCGGTCCGAGCCAGTCGGCGGGGGGGGTGGCAGTTGTAGCTTTCGGTAGGCACATTCGCTTCTCAGATGCCCTGCCGGACTCAACGGGGAGGCTTTTAGGGGTCACAGTAGGAGGGGAGGAGCCTTTTAGGCTGGTGGCTGCATATCTCCCGGCGCAAGCATGCAATAGAGCGAAGTTTCACAGGGAGCATCTGATACCTTTTATCCAGGCACAACCGCAGTCACGGCACCTGGTGGTGGTGGGAGATCTTAATATGGTTGCCGACCCAGATCTGGACAAGTCATTTGGTGTGGGCTCTGGGAGAGAGAATCAGCGTTTCCTGGATGCGTGGCAGCCGCACGATCTCCAGGATGTGTTCCGTGCCGTGCATCCCACCGACAAGCAGTACACATTCAAGGATAGAGCCACGTAGTCGAAGACGCGCATAGACAGAGCCTTGGTATCCACGTCGCTGCTTGGCAGCTTGGTGGGGGCCCGGCATGTGGAGGTGCCAAAGAAGCTGACTGACCACTGGTTCGCGGTCAAGATAAGGCTTAAGTTCGCCTCGGAGCACGCGTGTGGCCCAGGTCTGTGGAGGTTCCATGCTACACGGAAGGGCAGGAGGGGGGTAAGGAAGCTCATTGAGTCAGTTACGGAGTCACTCGACAAGGCGGGTAGGGGCTCTTTGGAAAACCTGCTACCAAGACTAACAGCGGGCCTACGTGCGTACGAGAAGGAGGAAAGGAAAAGGGTGACAGCAACGCAGCTGCATCTCACGGAGGAGGTGGAACGGTTACGGCACATGGTCATGGGTGGGCCGACGGACGACAAGGTCAAGGCGCAACTGCTGACCATGGAGGAACAGTTGGAGTCTTACCGGGAGGACGAGCGGGAGAGGCTGGAAGTGTTTGCGGGCCTCACAGCGGAGATGCAGGGTGAGATCCCATCGCCGTACCTGTCGGCGCAAGTAAAGATGAGGAAGGAGCGCACGCTGATAGAGGAGGTACTCTTTCAGGGGGTGCGTCATCGCGAATCAAGTGCGGTGTGTCAAAATACTAGTTGGGCTTAGGGGCCGTAGTAGCTTAGGAGAAGGTTTAGTGATCGAGTTCGAGTTGAAGGGGTGTGTCGAGAAAGTTGAGAATGTTCAATAATAGCAAAGAGATACAACATATAGTCAAGAAACTAGAGGTGCACCACCAAACAGAAGACAGGATAAATACACTACACCTAAACCACAAGCAGTTACATAAAATAACTTTGACACCGTCGCCGCCCTTCCGCGGCCCCGTCGCCGCCCTTTCAGCGGCCCCATCGCCGCCCTTTCAGCGGCCCCGTCGTCGCCCGCCCTTCAGCAGGCCCCGTCGCCCGCCCTTTCAGCGGCCCCACCGCCGCCCTTTCAGCGGCCCCGTCGCCCGCCTTTCAGCAGGCCCCGTCGCCCGCCCTTTCAGCGGGCCCCGTCGCCGCCCTACCAGCGGCCCGTCGCCCGCCCTTTCAGCGGCCCCACCGCCGCCCTTCCAGCGGCCCGTCGCCCACCCTTTCAGCGGCCCCGTCGCCACCCTTCCGCGGCCCAGTCGCCGCCTCCGTCGGCCCCGTCGCCGCCGCCAGCGGCCCCGTCGCCGCCACTTGCGGCCCCGACCCCGCCCCGGCCATGCCCCGACGCCAGCCGCGGCACACCGGGGGCACGTGCACCGCCCCCCCCCCCCCCTTTTTCCCGTCACCCGTCGCGGCTCCTTCAGGGGCCGCGGCGACCTGGAAAGGGGGGGCAAGCGTCGCCCCCTCTGCCGCCTGCTTTGGCGCCCTGGGAGGCCGTGCGTCAGCCCCCCCCCTCCCTCCCCCCCCCCCCCCCCCCCCCCCCCCCCCTCTTCTCCTTCGTCTCCCTGCAGCTGCGGGGGGGAGGGTCTGGGGGTGGCGGGTGTGGGGGTGATGGGTGATGTGTGGTCTCCCCTTCCCATCCTCCTCCGTTCGCCCCCCTCTGCTGCTCCTGCAGTAGTGTGGGGGGGAGGGGGAGGGTGAGGGAATGGAGGGGGTGACCAACCAGAGCCTACCACCTCCTCTCCTCTCTCTCCCTCTCTCTCTCCTCCTCCTTGCCTGCCCTCTCCCGTTCTGCTGCGCACTCCGCCTCGTGTACCCCTTTAGGGGGCGATAACTACACTTCTTCCCACAAGCAATTATGGGGGCGTGTCAAAGTTATTTTATATAACTGCTTGTGGTTTAGGTGTAGTGTATTTATCTTGTCTTCTGTTTGGTGGTGCACCTCTAGTTTCTTGACTATATGTTGTATCTCTTTGCTATTATTGAACACCCCTTCAACTCGAACTCGATCACCTAACTCACTCATAAACTACCATGGCTCCTAAGCCTTACTAGAAACCTTTTAACAGACGGGGCCGCGGAAGGGCGGCGACGGGGCCGCGAAGGGGCCGCGAGGGGCCTTTGAAAGGGCGGCGACGGGGCCGCTAAGAGAAAATTAAGGGGCACGCCACGGGGCGTGCCGAACACAGAGTAGCAGCGGAAGCAATAGGGCGGGTCCACAGGCCAGGACCGTGATCGCTCTGATAGCATGTCAATGTTGGAATCACTGAACAGGAATGAATGAACTAGCAGTGAAATGAGTACAAGTACCTAACCCTAGAATTGTGTACCCCCTATAGGCTAACCCACTGTAGCCTAAACTAACACAGCATATATAATGTTTGACACACCCCCATAGGCAAAGTGGGGGAGAACTAGGGGTCACAAGACCAGTCAAGGCAAAGCAAGGCAAAACAAGCTCAGGGTGGATCTCAAGGATACCACACAAATTCCGAGCACAAGCAAGTGGTCACAAGACCAGTTCACATGCAAGTTTATAATAGAGCAAAAGGTACAATGATCACAACCTAACAAGAGTAAACATGCAGGTATATATATAGAGATCACAGTACAAATAGACTCAAGAAGTAAGCAAGTGAGGTCCAGTAGGCACAAGGCCTAGAAGATTGCAAAAGCGCTGATGGTCACAAGGCTGAAGCGCCTTGGTGAACACATCAGCAGTGTTGGCCTCAGAGGCCACGTAACGCAGGCGAAGCTAACCACGCTGCTGCAGCTCTCGAGCAAGGAAGTAACACAGAGCAATGTGCTTCGTTCTGTGCTCCAGTCTGTGCTCCTCACACAAGGCAATGGCTGCCTTGTTGTCGACGTACAGCACTGGAGGAGAACGAGGCTGCTCTCCAAGGTCGGTCAGCAAGTAGGTGAGCCAGCGTAGCTCCTGGGCCGCCATGGCTGTGGCGTAGATCTCAGCCTCACAACTGGAGCTGAGAACAGAAGAAGAGCGAGTAGAACGCCAAGAAACAGAACCAGAGCCAAGACTGAAGGAGTAACCCTGAGACGACCGCTGAGTAGCCTGGTCGTCTGCCCAAGAAGCGTCTGAGTGCCCACTGAGAACAACTGGGACTCGTCCTCCAAGCACTAGCCCCATGCCCAACGTACTGCACAAGTAGCGCAACACCCTCTTAGCTGCATCCATGTGCTCCTTCCGGTGACGGCCGGGAGCGACATAGCGTGCAAGAATGCTGAGAGGGTATGCAAGGTCTGGTCGAGTGCAGGTCATCAGGTACATGAAGCAACCCAAAAGCTCTGGATACGGGCCACTCGGCTCTACGGACTCATCCGAAGGCAGAGCTGAGAGCGAGTGACCGGTAGGTAGAGGAGTGGGCTGAGGCGAGGAGTACGTGAAGCGGAAGCGCTGAAGGACCTGCTGCACCATGTGTGACTGAGTCAAGGTGATGGTGCGGCGTGCTCTGTCCCGGGTGATCCGCAAGCCAAGATAGCTTGTCAGTTCACCCAGGTCTGTGCACGTGTGTCTTTTCTGCAGCTCCGACTTCACGTGGGCGAGTGCCACAGTGTCAGCAGTAGCAAAGACCAAGTCGTGGACGTACACAAGGACGTAGAACGGCGGCAGTGAGGTGTCGGTGCGTAGAAACAGCGACGGGTCGGCAATAGAAGGCGCGAACCCAAGAGCCGCAAGCGTAGTCCTCAGTGTGTCGTGCCACTCACGAGGCGCTTGGCGGAGACCGTAGACTGGCCGTCGGCGGCTCCACTGGGTACCAGGAGGGAACGACCCAGTGAAGCTAGGTGGACGGCGCAGCCAGATCTCCTCGTGCAGGCTGCCCTGCAGGAAAGCAGTGCTGAAGTCAAGCGAGTGGAGCTCGTAGTTACGCTGAGCGGCGACGTGCATCAGAACCCGAAGAGTGGTCATCTTCGGGGTCGGGGAGAAGGTCTGGAAGAAGTCAACTCCCTCTCGCTGACTGAAGCCTCGTGCAACGTAACGCGCCTTGAAGACAGGCGGAGAGCCCGGCGGCCGCTTCACCCTGAAAATCCACATGCCACTGACGATGTTCGCCCCAGGTGGGGGAACCTCGTCGACGTAGGTGCCTGTGGACTTCCAGGAAGCCATCTCTGTGTCCATGGCTGACTGCCACTGAGAGGAGTAGGGACCGGCCATCGCCTCTGCGTAAGAGCGTGGGGTCGGGATGTGTGGTGCATCCGGGTCTCCCTCAGGGGCAACAAGCATGGACACGAGATGGGGCAAAGCGGCAGCAAAGCACTCAAACTCCTCCTGCCTATCCTCAAGGACGTCAGTGCCAAGAGCACACTCACCCCCGACGGACGGAGGACAGACAGACTCAGACTCAGCAACTTGGCTAGCAGCGTAGTCTAGACGACAGCGAGCAGCAAAGTCGAGAAGCTCAGCAACTAAGGCAGACGCAGCAGCAGACTCAAAGGAAGGGTCAGTGACATCAGTAGCCAGGAGACGCGTGACAGTAGGACTGGTAGCACGAAGAGAGTCTGACCCAGGGTCAGCAAGAGCAGGAAGAGAGGACTCAGGAGGAGACGACTGTGGGACACGCTGTGGAGCAGTGGACGGACGAAACGCCATCCGGTGAGTGCCTGGGACAGCAGGAAGACGCTGACGCTGGACTCGACTACTAGAGAGAGCAGTGCGGACAGGCGACTCAAGACGAGACTCAGGCGACGCAGGACGAGACGCAGGCTCACGCCGCTCAGTAAGACCTCCAGTCGGACCAGTGTAAGGAGCAGGACCAGGGAGAGAGGAGGCAGACGGGAACGCCGATTGCAGCTGGACAGGCGGAGGACACGCTAAGGAGGGAGGAGGAAAAGGAGGAGGAAGCTGACCAAGAACATGCTGAAGGAGCAGAACAAAGTACGGCCGAGACCGAGCAGCGACACCAGAGCCAGCAGGGACACCCGCACCAGGGTCCGCAGCACCAGCAGCAGCTCCAGCGCCCACGTCCTCAGCACCGGCGGCAGCTCCAACGCCCGGGTCCTCAGCACCAGTAGCAGCTCCAACGCCCGGGTCCGCAGCACCAGCGGCAGCTCCAACGCCTGGGTCCTCAGCACCAGCAGCAGCTCCAACGCCCGGGTCCTCAGCACCAGCAGCGGCTCCAACGCCCGGGTCCTCAGCACCAGCAGCAGCTCCAACGCCCGGGTCCTCAGCACCAGCAGCAGCTCCAACAGCAGCGGGGTCCGTAACACGAGGCACGCCACTCCGAAGAGTGCAGCGCCGCTCGTACCACTCACGGATTCGCTCGCGGGAGGGGAGCTCCCGAACGGGAGAAGAAGCACTAGCACCAGTCCCAGTAGTACGTCCGGCTCGAGCGGTACCTCTCCGGAGGCTGCAGTACTCTAAGTACCACGCAAGCAGCTGCTCCGAGGAGAGGGCTCCTCCAGGTGCAGGACTCCCAGGCCTAGTACCTCCAGACTCAGAACCCCCAGACTCCGGACTCCGCAGCTCAGCACAACAAGGCTCCACACCCCCAAGCTCAGCACCCTCAAGCTCCACACCCCCAGGCTCCACACCCCCATGCTCCACACCCCCAGGCTCAGCACCCCCAGGCTCAGCACCCCCAGCAGGACGAGAGTCGACAGCTACCTCAACAGGCTCAACCGGGTCTACCTGAGACACACCTGAGGGAGCGGCACCCTGAGGGGGGAGGGGGTCTGCAACAGCAGCACCTGGCACGAGGAAGAGAGGCGGGGGGGGGAGCGGGGCAGTGTGGTAGGGGAAGAGGCGGTAGTAGGGGACGGACTCGTCAAAAGTGACGTCCTGGGAGGGCAAGACTCGGCGCGAGGTGGCGTGGTAAAACTGCCAACCAGACGCGTCCGGGACAAAGCCGAGGAAGACGCAGGGAACAGCACGGGAGGAGAGCTTGTCCGCAGACGAATCGCGGACAAAAGCTCGAGACCCCTAGACTCGGAAACGCGACGCATCGCCAACCTCCCCCGTCCACAGCAGCGTGGGCGAGGTCTCCGGCAAGGAGACACGGGGCCAGAGGTTGAGCTGATGCGCAACGTACCGGACCGCAAACGGCCACAGAAAGTGGGGGGCAGCCGCATGGATCAAGGAGGTACGGGCGACCTCCATAACCAGGCCAATGTGGCGCTCCGCAACCCCATTCTGCTGTGGAGAAGCCGGAAGCGTGAACGACTGCTCAATGCCGTGCTCAGCACAGTAGGCCGCCAAGAGTTCGGAGGAGAACTCACCACCTCTGTCAGAGTGCAAGCGCAGGACAGGAAAGTCCGAGTGAAAACGCTCGCTGAGCTGGAGACGGGCTCTGCGGATCCAAGGGATCAAGACATCAGGGACCTCACCCTTGGTGCGCAAGGGGAAGACCGAGGTGTAGCGCGAGTAGTCGTCAACAACTATCAGGAAGTACCTCTCCTGACCCCGACCACGGACGCGGGCTGGGCCCCACACGTCCATGTGGAGTGTCTGCAAGGGAGCAGTCGTCGGGGGGAACGAGGAGGAGTGAGGAGCGGCGCGCTGCCGTCCCTCGACACAGGGGAGACAGGTAGGAGCAGGCGAGGGTGGGAGGGCAGGAAGGACCCTGGGCAGGCCAGAGACAAGGTACCAGGAGTGCATGGCACGAAGCCGCTGCACAGACGGGTGGCCAAGGCGGTGGTGCCAGAGGACAGTCTCGTGTGCCAAAGAGCGACACGAGCAGGGGGCGGACAGCTGACCTGACGCGGACGCGGACCCAGTCGCAGCAACCTGAGGGGACTCAGTAGTCAGTGTGTACAGGTCCGACCCCGGCTGCCGAGTGAAGGTAGCCAAGTGACGGCCCGTACGAGCACACGTGCAGTGTGTCACGCGCTCGTAGGCAGGGGTGAACTGGTGAACACCCCCGTCCTGGAGTGCACATCCTGCCACCAAGTTCGTAGAGAACGAGGGGAGGTGGAGACCTGACAGTGTGCCCGACGGGACCGCAGGGCAGGGAAGGACAGTGGAAGAGGTCGCAATGACCGGACCCCCAGAGGGGTCAGCAAGGGAGACAGCAACTGGCCGAGCAAGCGGCTCAAGGGCAGTGCGGTCACGAAAGAAGCAGCGAGAAGCACCTGAGTCCAGTGTGAAGGTGTGCAATGCGGCAGTCGACGCAGTACCAAGGGGGGGAGACACACGAGCACCTAGAGCAGCAGCCTCACCAGCACCTGGGGTAGCCGACACGCGAGTACCTGGAGCGGCAGACGCACTGGCCCTAATGCCCGGGTCGGGCGGCACACACAAGTACTCAGCACCCTCTCCACTAGTAGACATCACATACATGGCAGATAGAATAGCATCAAAGTCTAGAGCATAGATATCAATCCCCTTCTTCAGGAGATCAAGCCAGCGGGGCAGCTCAGTGGCCTGAGGGAACTGAACACGCCAAGCGTCGTCGAGACGAGAGAAGCAGCGCTGTGTGGCATGCGGTCGTCCACACTGCTGACCAGTGCGGTCACCAGTGCGAATGACGTACGTGCAGCTAAGACCACCCCCACCCCCGTGCTGAGAGTACCACTCACGGACCTCCTGGGGCGAGGGAGTGTGCTGCTGGCCCTGGCCACCGCCAGTGCCTCCACGGCCACCACCACCGCTGCCACCTCCCCGACCACCCCAACCCCTGCCGCCGCCTCGTCCACCGCCACCCCAACCGCCGCCTCCACTCCTGCCACCTCCCCCGCCGCTGCCGCCACCACCCCCACCGCTACCACTCGCCCCTCCAGCCGAGCCACCACCCCCACTGCCTCCACCGCCCCCACCGCCGCCTCCCCCGCCGTCACCGCCACCACCCTTGCCCCCTTTGCCCTTGCTGCTGCGGCGTCCGCTCGAGGCAGACGCAGCGCCGACCTTCTCAGTACCAAGGAGGTCGACAGCAGCAGCAGAGGCGACAGAGGGAAGAAGGGGGGAAGAAGAACACCCCTCAAAGAACGGGGTACGGGGGTCGCCACGAGAGGCACCTACAGCAACTATGCTAGTCTCAGCTGCAAGTAGCTCCTTCTCGAGGAGGGCAATGGTGAGCTCAGTGGGGCAACGAGCTAGGAAGTGGTCCCTGACAGCACGCAGTGTGTCAGGGAGGCGGGTGACTAGGTGGTAGAGAGTGAGCCAGAGTGGAGGGGGGTGCGTGGCAAGGAGCTCAGCAGGCATGGCGGCACAGAAGCGGGCCTCACTAGTACGGAGGTGCGTGATGAGGTCAGCGACTGTGTGAAAGGAGGCCAGGTCGGGAAATAGGTAGGGGAGGGAGAGACGGCCTAGTGCGGCAGAGGCAGGTGAGGAGTAGCGAGCAACTACAGCTGTGTACAATGCCTGTGCAGTCTTGTGCTGACCAAAGTGCTCGCGTTCGTCTATCGGCAGGGAGTTGCGAATGGCGAAGCGAGCGTGGGCATCATGAGTCTGCCACTGTGAGCGAGCAGTGCTGTCAGAAGTAGCAGCAGGGGCAGTGACATGGCCTAGGGCGTGATCGTACAGTGAGATGTCATCCTTGGCTGTGAGCTGTAGGTAGAGGTGCAGGTCATCGAGCCAGGTGTCAAACTTCACAGGGCGGCCCTCAGCATCGAACACGAGAACCTGTGGGCTAGCCATAGGAACAGTAGAAATAGCAGCAGTAGCAGTAGGAGAAGCAGGTAGGACGAACCAGGTAGGGCAGGGCGGCGCGGCTCGGTTCAGGTCAGGTCGCGGCTCGGCTGGGTGGCGCGGCCCGGTTCAGGGCGCGCGGCTCGGCTCGGGGCGCGCGGCTCGGCTCGGGGCGCGCGGCTCGGGTCACGGCGGGGACGGGCCGCCCGCTCTCCCTCGTGTGCTGCGGCGGGAACGGGCCGCCAGGGGCCTCTAGGTGGTGGGCACGGGTCGGCGAGGTCGGCACGGGGCCGGTTGGGGCCCTAGAGGGGCGAGCGCGGGGCCGATCGGGGCCTGAGCGGGGCTAGCGCGGGGCCAAACGGGGCCTTGACGGGGCTAGCAAGGGGCCGACGGGGCCTGAACGGGGCTAGCGCGGGGCCGACGGGGTCTGAAACGGGGCCGACGGGGCCTGAAACGGGGCTAGCGCGGGCCCGATCGGGGCCTGAATGGGGCTAGCGCGGGGCCGACGGGGCCTGAGAGGGGCTAGCGCGGGGCCGACGGGGCCTGAAACGGGGCTAGCGCGGGCCGACGGGGCCTGAGAGGGGCTAGCGCGGGGCCGACGGGGCCTGAAATGGGGCCAACGGGGCCTGAAACGGGGCTAGCGCGGGCCGACGGGGCCTGAGAGGGGCTAGCGCGGGGCCGACGGGGCCTGAAACGGGGCCGACGGGGCCTGAAACGGGGCCTGAAACGGGGCTAGCGCGGGCCGACGGGGCCTGAGAGGGGCTAGCGCGGGGCCGACGGGGCCTGAAACGGGGCCGACGGGGCCTGAACGGGGCTAGCGCGGGGCCTGAACGGGGCCTTAAAGGGGCCGACGGGGCCTGAACGGGGCCGCTAGGGAGAGCGGGTGTGGGGCCGACGGGGCCTGAACGGGGCTAGCGCGGGGCCGTCAAGAGGGGCCTCTAGGGGCGTGACACGCCGAGGCGCCCTAGGGCACAGGTAGGTAGGTAGGTAGGTAGTTACGTAGTGGTGGGCCCTTAGAAAATTTCGGTCCTAGGAAGGACCTGCTCTATACCATGTTGGAATCACTGAACAGGAATGAATGAACTAGCAGTGAAATGAGTACAAGTACCTAAACCTAGAATTGTGTACCCCCTATAGGCTAACCCACTGTAGCCTAAACTAACACAACATATATAATGTTTGACAGTCAAAATACTAAGTCGAGTTGGGCTTAGGAGCCATAGTAGCTTAGGAGAAGGTTTAGTGATCGAGTTCGAGTTGAAGGGGTGTGTCGAGAAAGTTGAGAATGTTCAATAAAAGCAAAGAGATACAACATATCGTCAAGAAACTAGAGGTGCACCACCAAACAGAAGACAAGATAAATACACCACACCTAAACCACAAGCAGTTACATAAAATAACTTTGACACGGTGCTCAAGGCGGTGTCGACGCATTTTGCTGAGTCTTTCAAGGCTTAGTCGCCGGTGGCCCAGTCGGCAGGCGCGGATTTCACGGTGGACAGGGTCATGCCAGAGGGGGCGGCGGATAGACTCGGAGCCCCGTGGTCGGAATTGGAAGGCAAGGCTGCGCTGGACGGTCTCCCGAAGGGGAAGTCGCCAGGGCATGACGGGCTCCCGGCGGAGCTTTTCACGGCTCATTGGGACCTGTTGGGGGGGCCATTCATGAATTTCGTCAGGAATTTCGAGGCGACGGGGGTGCTGCCAGAGTCACTGACGACGGCGGTAACGGTTTTACTGCACAAGAAAGGGGAGAAGGACCTGCTGACAAACTACAGGCCAATCACTCTGCTCACAACAGTGTACAAGGTCCTGGCAAGGGTGCTCGCGAACAGGCTCAAACGCGAACTACATCACATCATCTCAAGGGAGCAACACGGGTTCATACCGGGGAGAAGCCTGGCAGACGCGGTGGCGGTGGTGGCGGATGCGATAGAAGCGGCAGACAATGATGGTGAAGACTGGTACCTCTTGCACGTTGACTTCCAGAAGGCCTACGACACAGTGTTGCGGCCTTTCCTTTTCGGGACGTTGGGGAAGCTCGGATTGCCTGCGCGATTTATCAAATGGGCAGAGGGCCTGCATCAGGGGTCAGGGATGAGGTTGGCGTTAAACGGCTGGGTTGGGGAAAAGGTAGAAATGCAAAGGGGGGTAAGACAGGGGTGCCCCTTAGCACCCTACCTATTTCTCTGTGCCCTGGAGCCGCTTTGTGCGGAGATTAAAAGGCGCGGCCTGGGGGTCAAGGCGGACGGGGGTGACGCGGTGTCATATGTTGGCTACGCGGACGATACCTCGTTGATCCTGAAAGGCGCAGATCAGCTCCACTCAGCTACAGCAGCGTTGGATTGGTTCGGGAGACTGTCCGGCCTACGCATCAATCAAGACAAGTATATCGTCATGCCGCTGGGTAGGAACAAAGGCAGAACGTCCCTACCAGGGGTCAGTTTCAAGTGGGCGGAGGAAGGGGTCCCCGAGCGCCTGCTTGGAATATGGGTGACGCCGGACGGAGACGCGACACCGTCCTGGGAAAAAGCATGGGAGAGAGGGAGGAAGGAGCTGATCAAATGGGAGAAGCAACACCAGCTGACGGCATCAAGAGTAACGGTTATCAACAGCTACATCATGCCGATACTGCTTTTCCAGGCGCAAATATACCCGCCGCCGGAAGAGCTTTGGGCGAAAATCCGGAAAACCTACGACAATTATGTCTCGAAAGGGGAGGCAACATCGGAGAAAATCTTTGTGCTCTGGAGCGGGGAGCTGGCGCGGTTGCCGAAGGAGGACGGCGGCTTGGGGCTGATCGATCCGAAGGACCGGCTGGATAGCATGGCGATACGGCAGGTGGGGAAATTCTTGACAGAGAAGGATGCCACCAAGAGATGGCTGATGGAGAAGGCCGCAGCGCTGCCACAAGGTGTTGCGACGCTCTTCGCCCACAAATCTGCCAAAAAACACTGGGAGAAGGGGAGCCAGAGGTGAAAGGCGATAGTGGAAATTTTCTGGGAGTCCCCTTTCGCGGATCTGCCGGAACCGACCAACAGCTGGGAAGCAGAACATGAAGTACTTTGCTTCAACCGGCGCATCATGTTCCGGGGGGGTAGCCCTTTTGGGAACCAACAGGGCACAGCCGGAATTGTGAAAACCACGATGGGAAGCTTGCTCGCCACCAAGGAGGATGGGAGCAGAGAGCTGAAGGACATCAAGACACTGACCGCAGAGTTCGGAGCGTGGCGTCGGCCAGATGGGCGAAGAAAGCCTACGAGGCCTCCCCGGCGGGCTGGAGGTCGATGCTGACGGCGCCGAAAACAGCCAAGGCGGTCGTGGCGGTGGCAAAGGTGGTGCGTACGGTTCTGACACGGACGCAAGAATACGTGTACTGGACGGTCAAAGGGGTCAAGGAGGGGAGAGTGGCGACTGGCCACCTCAACTACTCGGACGCCTTGAACCTGGTCGCGCCGCAGAGCCCGTACGCGGTAAACTTCCCGGTCAGGAGTGTAGAGCCGGTGGTGACTAGGTGTGGCACGGTGCTCGGAGCGATGGGCGAGCCTCGAGTCAAGCTATGCCAAACCTCACTGGTAGGAGAACACATGAAGCCGGCGGCGCCTAAGGAGAAAAGAAGGGCGCTAACGGGGCTGGTCATGGCATCTAGGCGGAGACACGAGTGGGACGAAGAGCTAGGCAGGAAAATTGACTGGAAGGTTGTGAGAGAAAAGAGAGACTCCGTGGTGATCCCCTACAGAGCACGGGATGTGGTGTTGCGTATGCACAGCAAGAACCTGCAGGTGGGAGGGAGGCTAGTTTTTCTCGGACCCAGAGGATGTTGCCCGCACTGCGGGGCCCTTGAAACCCTGGATCACTGCATGCGTACCTGCCCCGTCATCCAGCCGGTGATCGGCGCGCTGCTGAGCTCACTGAGGATGATGGATCCAATGGACCAGACGAGATCGCTTGGTGATATGTTGTTCAAGGAGGGAGGCACGAAGTCCGGTTTCCTAGGGGCCACTTTGACAGCAGTGACGATGCGGAGAATCTGGTTGGCCAGGGTGGATGCGGTGTTTCGGAAGGAGAAGTTTCAACGGAAGGTCACAAGGGCGGCTATTTTTGACTTCATGAGGCATGCGAGATTGTACAGAGCAGAAAAGTTGAGGAAGGCAACAAGTCGCAAGATCCAAGGGCAGCCACGGGACCCGTGGGGTGGCCTGACAAGTGATGAGTGTGAAAGATAAGAGAACAGGAATGAAATGACTAGGTCACAGTTGGGTACAAATACAACCCTAGAAAGCTGTACCCCATATGTGCTACCCCACTATAGCCTACAAACATGCATCAGTTATAATACTCTGACACACCCCCATAGGCAAAGTGGGGGAGAACAAGGGGTCACAAGACCAGTCAAGCAAAGCAAAGCAAAGCAAGCTCAGGGTGGATCACAAAGTCACCACACAGTCCGAGCACAAGAGTAGGGCCAGAGGCCAGTTCACATGCAGGAGAACAGACATATATATAAAACTAGACAAGCAAGAGCAGGTATATATATATGTCACAGTACAAGTGAAGTCAAGAGGAGAGCAAGTGAGGCAAGACAGGCACAAGACCCAGCTGGGTGCAAAAGCGCTGATGGTCACAAGGCGCGAGTGCCTTGGTGAACACATCAGCAGTGTTGGCCTCAGAGGCCACGTACGCAAGTCGCAACTGACCACGCTGCTGCAGCTCACGAGCAAGGAAGTAGCGGAGAGCAATGTGCTTCGTTCTGTGCTCCAAGCGCTGCTCTCGACACAAGGCCAGCATGGCCTTGTTGTCTACGTACAGCACTGGAGGAGAACGAGGCGGCTCTCCAAGGTCAGTCAGCAGGTAGGTGAGCCAGCGAAGCTCCTGTGCAGCCATGGCCCCGGCGTAGATCTCAGCCTCACAACTGGAGCCGAGAACTGAAGACGAGCGAGTAGACCGCCACGAGACAGAGCCGGAACCAAGGCTGAAGGTGTAACCCTGTGACGACCGCTGCGTAGCCTGGTCGTCAGCCCAAGAAGCGTCCGCTGGACTCCGCCCTCCAAGCACTAGCCCCATGCCCGACGTACTGCACAGGTAGCGCAATACCCTCTTCGCTGCTGCCATGTGCTCTGGTCGGTGTCTCCCAGGAGCAACATAGCGTGCAAGAATGCTCAGAGGGTATGCAAGGTCAGGTCGTGTGCAGGTCATCAGGTACATGAGGCAGCCAACAAGCTCTGCATACGGACCACTCGACTCTACGGACTCATCCGAAGGCAGAGCTGAGAGTGAGTGGCGAGTAGGCAGAGGAGTGGCCTGAGGCGAGGAGTACGTGAAGCCGAAGCGCTGAAGGACCTGCTGCACCATGTGTGACTGAGTCAAGGTAATGGTGCGGCGTGCTCTGTCCCGAGTGATCTGCAAGCCAAGGTAGCTGCGCAGTTCACCCAGGTCTGTGCACGTGTGTCTCTTCAGCAGCTCGGACTTCACGTAGGCGAGTCCAGCAGTGTCCGCTGTGGCAAAGACCAAGTCGTCGACGTACACGAGGATGTAGAACGGCGGCAGTGAAGTGTCGGTGCGCAGAAACAGCGACGGGTCAGCAGTAGAGGGAGCAAACCCAAGAGCCGCAAGCGTAGTCCTCAGTGTGTCGTGCCACTCACGCGGTGCCTGGCGGAGACCGTAGACTGGCCGTCGGAGGCTCCACTGGGTGCCAGGAGGGAAAGTCCCAGTGAAGCCAGGCGGACGGCGCAGCCAGATCTCCTCATGCAGGCTACCCTGCAAGAACGCAGTGCTGAAGTCGAGAGAGTGAAGCTCGTAGTCGCACTGAGCGGCTATGTGCAGCAGCACCCGAAGAGTGGTCATCTTCGGGGTGGGAGAGAAGGTCTGAAAGTAGTCAACTCCCTGCCGCTGACTGAAGCCACGAGCAACGTACCGCGCCTTGAAGACAGGTGGAGAGCCCGGCGGCCGCTTCACCCTGAAGATCCACATGCCACTGACGATGTTCGCCCCAGGAGGGGGAACTGCGTCAACGTAGGTGCCTGTGGACTTCCAGGAAGCCATCTCTGCATCCATAGCTGCCTGCCACTGAGAGGAGTAGGGACCCTCTACGGCCTCCGCGTAAGAGCGCGGAGTCGGGATGTCTAGTGCATCCGGGTCTCCCTCAGGAGCAAGCAGTACAGACGCGAGATGAGGTGAAGCAGCAGCCAGATACTGTAACTCCTCCTGCCTGTCCTCTAGGACGTCCGTGCCAAGAGCACACTCACCCCCGACGGACGGAGGACAGACAGACGCAGACTCAGCAACAAGACTAGCAGCGTAGTCTAGACGGCAGCGAGCAGCAAAGTCGACGAGCTCAGCGACAAGAGCAGACGCAGCAGTGGACTCAAAAGAGGGGTCAGTGACGACAGTAGCAAGCAGACGCGTGACAGTAGGACAGGCAGCACGAAGAGAGTCCGACTCAGGGTCGGCAAGCGCAGGAAGAGAGGACTCAGGAGGAGAAGGCAAAGGGGCACGTAGAGGAGCAGTGGACGGACGCAGAGACATCCGGTGCGTGCCAGGGACAGGAGGAGGACGCTGACGCGAACCGCGACCACTAGCGCGAGCAGCACGAACCGACAACGTGGGACGAGACGCAGGCTTACGACGCTCAGCAAGACCTCTAGTAGGACCAGTGTAAGGGGAGGGAGCAGGCAGAGGAGAGGAAGGCTCCAACAGTGACTGCGACTGGACAGGCTGTGGACACTCTACCGAAGGAGAAAGACCAAGAACCTGCTGTAGGAGCGGAACGAAGTACGGCCGAGGCCGCGCGGCAGCTCCAGACTCAGCAGGGACAGCACCAGCACCCTCAGCGACAGCACCAGCGCCACCAACACCTCCAGCGGCAGGACCTCCAGCAGCACCAGCAGCAGAACCACCGCCAGGACAGACAGCAGTAGTCTCAGCACCAACACCCTCAGCAGCTCCAGCTCCAGTAGGACCCGCAGGCCCAGCAGCTCCGGGACCGGCAGCACCAGCACTCTCGACGGTCGACGAAGCTCCAGCTCCAGCAGCACGCCTCCAGCGGCGAGCAAACCACTCGCGCAGCTCCTGTGGAGAGAGGGGCTCCAGGCGAGACGCAGCAGCAGGAGAAACCCCAGGCTCAGCAGCTCCAGACTCAGCACCCCCAGGCACAGCAGCTCCAGACGTAGCACCCCCAGGCTCAGCAGCTCCAGACTCAGCACCTCCAGGCTCAGCAGCTCCAGACTCAGCACCCCCAGGCTCAGTAGCTCCAGCTCCAGTAGGACCCGCAGGCCCAGCAGCTCCGGGACCGGCAGCACCAGCACCCTCAGCAGGCGAAGAAGCTCCAGCTCCAGCAGCACGCCTCCAGCGGCGAGCAAACCACTCGCGCAGCTCCTGTGGAGAGAGCGGCTCCCGCCGAGACGGAAGAACCGGAGAGCCCCCAGGTCCAGCAGGCGCAGGCTCCGGACCTCCAGGCCCAGCACCCCCAGACTCAGCACCCCCCGGCCTCGCACCCCCAGGCTCAGCACCCCCAGCAGCAGCACCCCCAGGCTCAGCACCCGCAGCAGGACCAGACTCAGCAGCAACCTCGACTGGCTCGACTGTGTCTACCTGGGACACACCTGAAGGGGCAGGAACCTGAGGGGGGAGGGGGTCTACCGGGGGGGGAACTGGCACCAGGAAGTCCGGTGGGGGGGGGAGGGAAGGAGTACGGTAGGGGAAGAGGCGGTAGAAGGGGACTGACTCGTCGAACGTGACGTCCTGGGAGGACAGAACACGACGAGAGGAGGGGTGGTAGAACTGCCACCCTGGAGCGTTAGGGGGGAAGCCAAGGAAGACACAGGGAGCAGCACGAGGGGACAGCTTGTCCGCAGACAAGTCGCGGACAAACGCCCGAGATCCCCAGACACGGAACGCAGACGCATCGCCGACCTTCCCCGTCCACAGTAACACTGGGGACATCGCGGGCCGAGAGACCCTGGGGTGAAGGTTGAGCTGAT